CCTCATTTTATTGAACTTTAAAATGTCTGCTTGGGCTTCAAATTGATTAAAAGGCTTTCACTATTATTAATCAACTATTTTGTTTTAAAAACCAAAAACTATATATTACCTTGAAAAATATAAACATGTTACGTTGTTTAATTAAGGATTTGTATTCTGAACTATTTTTCCAATGATTTTGTAATTAAAATAACGCTTCTCAAAATGTATTCAACTACAAAAGTTTTATATAATACAGACACGTTTTTAAAACAGTTGAATAAAAATATAGTAGTGTTAATTTCTAAACAAATATTCTTATTATGTATGAACAATTTCTCCTTTTTGAAGTGTTCCAATTTTTTTATATTTACCTTTCGTAGTCTCAATAATAAAATAAATAACAAATACAATATTACTTATATAATCGCTCCATAATAGACAATTTATCTATTTACTTTAAATTGGAAATATTTCTCTGTATATACCATAACTGTAATCAAATATTTAAAAAAATAAACTAGTGGACTCTATAAATTCGGATATTTTATTACCAAGACAATTTAGCATCAATTACGTGTTTTAAAATCGTACTTAAATTATGTAAATAGGAATTTATTTTAGCTGTGGTATTTTCGGGACGATATATTTTGTCACCTGTGAGGTTTGCGTCACAAATTCTTTTTGCATTATCTTGTTTTTGGAAACATATATCTTGAGCTGTTATATGGGTTACCTGCCTCCTATTTGTGTTACTTATATACCAAAAGTAAGCTTATTGATATTTAATTGTACATATAAGTCCTCTTTTCAATAATAAATTTTACAACTTAAATATAAAGCAAAAGTTTTACAATATTATATATATACATGTGTGTATTTTATTTAAGAAAATAAATACCTAACAAATACGAAGTACGGTATCAAAATATTTTAAGGATTCATTTCATTGCTTATATTACTTACAGGTCAAAAGATAATAAAAGACAATGAAGGTATATTGAAACGAGTTAATGAAGCGTTTTTCGGTACATATTGCGGAATTTCAATTTTGTTTGAATCGTGAAATTTCCTTTTAGCGATAAGGCATGAAAGCTTGTGCTTTTAACTAGTTTACTATTGAGGGTTTGAGGTTACCAAAATATTCAATGTTTAATAATAGCTTTATTTGGTTTAATGAACAAAACATTTTAAAACAATAGGAACAAATATACGATATCGAACAACTTTTGTTAATCTTGGTAACGATGAAAGTTACATTTGAATCTAAAAATAGATAAATATAGTTGAAATGAGGTTTTGGTATAGTTTATTTTGAAATTACCTTAATATTGAAATAATATAGGTATAACTAGCTTTTTCCTCCAGTCTCAGATTAAATAACCAAAAATCGCCTATCATATGTATGAAAAGTCAGATCGTTTTCTTAACAATTTACTATAGTTTAAAACTAAATAACACCACCAACATTAATAAGTTTGTATTACGTCTTAATGTCGACTAGAAATCATTTCATTCATCACTTAGTTAAAAGTTAAGTTTTAGAAATGAAACAGTGGGGCCTAAAACATTTGTTTGAGTTAATTAAGTGTATATATGTATGTATATAGAATGACCTTTGTTAGAGCTATACTTCTATTTCTGCATTCTGCTAACCTTTAGAATGATACAAGGCCAAAATTGACTTCTAAAATACTTTTAGAAATTCCACCTTTTGTATTTGTATTTGTAATGAATGTTTGTATACATACAGATATGAACGTTATAATTTTAATAGTTATATTTTAAATAAATAGCAAACATACATTTTGTATCCAAGTCAAAATATTGAGTGATTTATGTCACTTGTCATAAGCCTTAACCTGTCACGCAGTGACACAGAAATGTTTATTAAATATGTATTGATTTCAATTAGGATGAAGCCATAGCATAAAAAATATATATGTATTGAAATTTAGTGTGATGCTTTTGTTTAGAAGGTACGACTAATATACAGGGTGACTGGTGAATTACTATCAATATTTAAGGAGCATACTCGGTACATGATTCTCATTCGAATTATGTAAAAAAAAATAGGTACTTAATTTTTGGCCAAATTTCCGTATAAATAAATAAAGTGTTGACACGTTCCAAGTGTTCCAAGTGTGGACGCGTGCGGCGGCGTGCTGATACAAAACCACGCCCCCGCCGCGTGTGTGTGAGTGTGTGTGTATACCTAATCTGTAGGGTGTTCATACGATGCGTAATTAATTACACAACTTTTGGTTGACTTTACTTAGAAGTTTATTAATATTTATGTTATATTAATTTTTATTTTGTCATATATGATCGTCAAATATCACGTCCTCAAATATCGATAGTAATTCACCAGTCACCCTGTATAATGTTTCTTTTGAATAACTTAAAACCATTTGTCGTAGTTACATTTTTTTTATAAAAATGATATACTTATATTAGTAATATTATTTATGAAAAATACTCCATTGTTATTAAGGTGAGGTGATATAATATATATGAATTTAAATGCAACAATAAGTTATAATGCGAAATATAAACGTTACGTCGATAAGTTATGTGAAGCTATTTTGGGTAATAAAGTATTACCATTTAGTGTATCCGTATTATAATATTTAAATAAATTTTATTAACATACATATATTCTAACAAATATTTTTGAAGTAGTCTGTGAAGCTATCGGACTCACACATTTCAATAATTTGTGAAAATTACTTCATACACCAAACCTGAACCTGAAACTTTAAATTGAAATTTGCTTATATCTTTTTGTTTCAATGAAATAAGTAAATTTTCGTCAAACACATAACACTTGTTCGTTACAGGTTAAGTACGCGTTTTTTAATAATAATAATAAGAAAGCATTCGGAAGGAATAATAATTAAGAATAAAAAACCTGTTGTTGTTATAAAATCTGAGTAAAAAAATAGTTTAACGAATAATATAAGTTTTAATTCTAAATTTCACGCGAAACTTTGTGTCACAATGTCGTGCTGCAGACTTGTCCATAAAATGGCTGGAAATAAATTAATAATGAAGCTATGTTATGAAAATTATCCTGTTAGCGTCCTCTTTTATAATTATTAATTTCCACAAACTTATTTAATATAATTTAACGAAAGAATATGTATAAAAATAATATTATTTTTGTGTTGTGGGTTATATTAATAAAGTTACATCTGTGATAGAATGAACCTTATAATGTTTTGATTTAATTTAAATAGTTTCATATTTCAATATTTTCAGCAACTTCATACAATCCGGCCAATTTAACACGTCCAATTCGCAAATTTAAAAGAATAAATAAAATAAATATGAAATTTTTTGCGTGAAAGACTGTTTAGAAACGGTTCTCCTCTTAAAAAACTAATTGTTTTGAAATATTACTACCAACTATTTTATTCTCCAATTCTCTCAATTTCTGGGTACTTGTAGTAATAAAGGACTATAATGATGGATATGAATGAGGAACAATATGATATCTCAGAGGATATTTGTGTGTTGATGATCTGGACCAGACATATTTCTGTTTTCTCAAATTTTACAGGGAGTTGTATTAAAAGAACTTACGGTTCCTTGTGAAAGCTACATCTCCAACGACAATGCACCCAAAGTCAATAAGTATTACGAGTTCACTAGCTAACTTAGTATGAATAGCTACGACTTAGATAACTACGCGGTAGAAATGGGAGCGAGAGATATTTTTTTTTATTTTTTTATGTGAAAGGTGGCAAACGAGCAGACGGCCCACTTGATGGAAGGTGGTTACCGTCGCCCATGGACATCCGCAACATCTTTGTTGCGGATGCTTTGCCAATCTTGTTTTTTAGGGATAAGGAGGGGTGGGAATAAGGAAATGAAAGGAAAGGGTAGGAATAGGGAAAAGGCAACCGGCTCTCTCACTCATCGGACGAAACGCAGCCATTAAAGGCTACTTCACGCCGATCTTCTGTGAGAGGGTGGTACTTCCCGGGTCGAGCCAGCCCATGTTCGAGCTGTAGTAACTCACTACAGCTAGGCTCTACCACCTTAACAGCTAAATCTCTCTACAACCTAGTAAGAGACTTGAGCATGTCCAGAACTAACATCAATTCATTCTTGGAACGTACATCAAAGGCAGCTCTAGTAGTTTCTTTTCAAATTTGGTTAGGTAGAGAGAGGAGCTTGGACAGTGGAGATGAGAGGTTAAACTTGAACCTACACCTGGGTCGCAAGTTTCTGGCACTGTTAAAGCTCCCCTAACTGCAAAGCGATAGACCCGACACTCGCACGGTGAATCCGTTATATGCTTAAAAGTTTCGTCTTTGTTTTCAAATCAAATCTTATATTTAATACTATATATTTTAATTAATACAAAAACTGTTCCAGATATAATAATGTCTATATAAAAACATTAACAAAGTAACTTTTGATATTGTCATTAAATTCCATCGCTTCTCGTTAATGCAGTTAAGCATTTCGTCGATGCGCGTGCAATACCGCTGAAGAGCAGTTTGTTAATACCGCGTAACAGCAAAAGGCGCAAAATTGAAATATCTCGCCAATGGATTCATAACGCGTATTGGCTTGTAGTGGATTAGACACATTTTGAATTAGCCAATAAGGAACCTTGATTTTGACATCGCAACAATACCGCGGAACAGCAGTGCGTCTGAAGTTGGCAGCAAGTCCGCGCATTTACCGAACCGGCGAAGAAGTTACATACAACGCGGTTAGGGCGTGTTCCCGATTACGACTGTTTTACCGTGGAAAACCCCCATGTAAGTATGTTTTTATTGTTTAACGTGTATGTTTATCAATAGTTTAAGCTTAGGTAATGTAGCTTCGTGTAATTATTTAATTATTTTAATGATTCTAGCAAACATAACCTCCATCTTGTAATTACGCGGTTTTAAAACTTCATGATTTGATAAAATTTTTCATCTACGCGGTATTTTATTCTACAATACTAGATTTACAATACTTACATACTAACATACTAAAATTATTTTTAGGTGCAAATAATAATGGAAAATCAAGACAATCATAGTTTTCCTTTTGAAAATGCTGATGTTGCCGACGACGTGATTTCATTGAAAGATCTGTTAGAAAGGCGAAACATTTTACTGAAAAAGAAAGAGGAAATAATAAGAAAACATAATGACCACAATCAACCACCATTGCAATCAGATTCAAAACCTTCGTCAGATAATATATTACAGCAAGAACAAAATCACGATATAACATCCGAATTTAATACATTTACAACACTTTTAAGTACTGTACCAACACAAAGAGAAAATAAAATTACTCCTCTTGAATTGAATGTTAATGTAGTAGAGCACAATGACGGACTTGATTTTTCGTCTGACGATTCTGTCGCAGATCCTTCTTATGTCGCCCTCTCAGATATAACAAATTTAAAGCCTTTATCGCCAGAAATATGGAATGGTTCCCTGAAAGGGAAATAGAAGAAAAGTCGAAAACAAACAAAAAAAAGCGCAAAGGGGATCAAAAAAATTGGAAAAGGATGAAAAATAAGCGACAGAGAATGTTAGGAGAAGAGTACATCGGATTTAAAAAAGATGGCTTTAAATTTATACAAAATAATCCTAAACCAGCACGAATAATGGGTCCAATATGTATGTCAATGCGATGTTTCAGTGGAAAAGCTATGTATTGTTCGAAATTAACAGAAGAAGTCAGGTCAGAAATTTTTAAAACCTATTGGAAAATGAGTTGGCAAGAAAAGAAAATGTACGTATCTTCAATGGTGGATCAGATTCCTACCACCAGGAAAACTAAAGGCTCAAATTCAAGGCGAAGCGATACCAAAAAATATTTTTTTAAAGGTGAATGATAAAAAGGAAAGAGTTTGCCAAAAAACATTTCTGGAAACACTAGGTATAAAAGAATGGACCGTTAGATACTGGCTAGGAGAGAAGATGAATAAAAGTGAATTTGAACCTGAACAAAGAGAAGTAATTGTCAAAGAACCCAAAAAAGATTTAGCTAAAAAATATTTGATTGCTCTACCGAAGCTGCCGTCTCATTATTGTAGACAATCTTCCTCGAAATTATATTTGGAGCCCATCATACAGTCAAAGTCGCAATTGTATCGTCTTTATGTAGATTACTCAGTTTCAAGAAATGAACCGGTGGCTTCAAGAAAGGTATTTGAAGGTGCTTTATTTGAAGAGAATATCGCAATATTTCAACCAAAAAAAGATGCATGCGACCAGTGTTGCGCTCACAAAGCAGGCAATATATCAGATGCGCAGTATACCAAACATATTGAACTAAAAGACTTAGCCAGAGCTGAAAAAAGTTCTGACAAAGAAGCAGCACAGAAAGGAAATATACATGCAATAACAGCAGATCTTCAGGCTGTAAAACTGTGTCCTTGCCTCAATGCCAGTGCCCTATATTTTAAAACAAAACTAGCCGTGCATAACTTTACAGTCTACAACCTGGGGAATAATAGAGTCACGTGTTACTGGTTCGACGAAACGGTATGCGACTTAAAATCGACTACCTATGCTACATTATTTGTGGACTATTTGACAAAATTAATAGATGATGATCCCAAGGATGTCGTAATATTTACAGATGGCTGTACCGCCCAAAATAGAAACAATATTGTATCGAATGCATTATTGCGTTTAGCTATGGCCAAGAACATAGTGATAACTCAGAAATACTTGGAGAAAGGCCACACGCAGATGGAAGTGGACTCAGTTCACTCTGTGATTGAGAGAAAATTGAAAAATAGAGAAGTGTTTTTACCCTCTCAATATGCGACTATTACGAAAGAGGCAAGGAAAGTACCAAGTCCTTATGAAGTTATTACACCAGATTTTACTTTTTTTAAAGACTTCGGTCTTAAAGACTATCTGATTTACGAATCAATCAGGCCTGGTCGTGGGGCGGGTGATCACTGTGTCGTTGACATAAGAGCACTCAGGTATAATCCAAATGGTACAATAGACTATAAGCTCCACTTCACACATAACTTTACGCCTTTGCCTAGAAGACCAAAGAAAATACTTTTAATAGATAGTGTGCCTTCACTTTATCAATCTAGACAACCAATAACCACCACAAAGTACCATCATCTGCAGGAGCTCAAGAGTGTCATACCAAGAGACTGTCATAACTTTTATGATAACTTGCCTTTTAAATAATGTTTCTAATATCCTAAACATTGTGATTCATTACTAGTTTTAATTTGAGTTTCAGATTATTTTGTTACTTTATTTTTGTTATAGTGTGTAAGTATAATAGTTAGCCTTGATAAGAATAAGTGCAATGGCAAAAAAGTGATGTTTAAGTAGATCTCAAAAAATAAGTATTGACTTAAAATTATGCTGTAATTTTAAGAAAGAATATTGATTTGACATTCCAAAGATAGTGATTTTTGGATATATAGTAAAAATGGGTATTGTATTTTCATGAGAAGGGACCGATCTCACTCTGGAACATAATAATAAAAAAAGGTTTCTTTATAATTTGATTATGGATATTATATACTTAAGTAGTAAAAATAATTGTTTATCAGATAAGTTTTTTTAAGAAGTCTAAACTTATATTTTTGAAGTTATTTTTGTTATTTTGTCGTAATAAATTAATTCTTTCAATAAAATGTTTTATTTCAACTCCGCGTATTTGCTAATAATAAATTGATTTTTCTGATATTTAGTGCTACAAAACCGCGTAAGTGACTTTTCACGGAATCTAAACAAGTTATGGTTGAATTTACATCATTTTTTTACAGAGTAAGTCACGAAAAAGTTACTACTTAGTTTACTCAGTAAAATATAGGCAAATAACTAAAGATATCCAGTTTTTTTCGCCTCCTGTAAAATCGTACAAAAGCAGTTACGCGGTATTAACAAACTGCTCTTTCGCGGTATGGCACGCGCATCGACGATTTGCACTTGCATGAGGTGACTTTCCTATAATTAAATGAAGTTCGCTTATATTCAATGTCTTAATGTAATATTTATTATTATAAAGTTAATAACTTAAAAACGTAACTCAGTATAACTTAATCCTTATTTGTACATACATTTGTTAGAAAATGTATTAAAATATTAAAATAATATATAAGAAAAGGTAGATTTATATACATATTATACATATTTAGAATAAAACAATTCATTAAAACATCTAATAACATTTCATTTACTGGACATGTTATAATTTTACAAAATATCGTCTTTCGTAAAGGGAAGCTATACAATATAATATACTTATCTCGTCTATATAGTCTTTCGGTAATTGTTTCTTCAAGAGTCACTGTTCAATAGTTTCACTATAACCACAGGGTTTCAATTGAAGTTCTGGCCCAGGCTGCTGTCCGATGTCAAGTCCCTTGCCTCGGCGAAGAGCAATGTTTTATAGGTCCTCCGAACACCACACGATATTCAAGATATTTACTTTTTAATTGTAACAAAATATATATTGAAAATATAATCTTATATATATTGAAAACATAACTCTTAAATAATGGAAAATATTTTAGTAAATAATATTTAGAAAGCGGGTTCCAATTTAACAGTATATTAAACACATATTTGACATGTTACCGCTTTTGTACCAAAGTCTTATTCTTACTTTTTAATAATAATTCCTTAAATATTAATCAAATAATATTCTAAATACAATAAAATATATATTTTAAAGTTTTAACAGTTTTTAAACAAAGCTGACTCCAATATAATTATATAATATTAGTATATTAGACATTCGTTTGACAAATAATTGACGACACAACACTTTTGTAAGTCAAATCCTAACTATTCGATTATTTAAACTGTAAATGACAAGATATATATTTAAATACAAATAGTATATTTAATAAACATTGTATAATTATAGAACATATATCCTAATACGGCCATACTGACATGTACTTCGTTCTCGAAGTACAATTAAACTCTCAACTCATTAATTTTCAACATACAAAAACAAATTTTGTATCTACTATTATATCTACTGGATGACAATTCTTTATATTAACTGCAATCTTTGGGCTACATATGAAACTTATCTATTAACAGTTCTTAATCGTTATATAATAAGCAACAATATAATCTGTAATAAACATGGTATATTCAATAACAAGTTATCCTTACTTTGCCCAACCATACACCCGCTGTCGGTGAAGCTAAATCACCCGCAGTCAGTGAATGCTGAACAACGGTTAAGTCATCTATCTCAAGTCAAGTCAATTATTCAAGTCAAATCAAGTAAAGTCAATTATCATATAATTCAGTTTTTTTTTCTTTTTCTTTTTTTTTTTTTACTCTAATCACCTTAAGTGATCTTCTCTCATAATCACACCTTACTTTGAACGACCAAACACCCGCAGTCGGTGAATCTGAATAACCCGCAGTCAGTGAATGTTGAACAACAGTAAAGGCGTCCATCTCAATATTATCATAAACTCACATCACCTTAAGTGATCCTCTTTAATCATCTCACCTTACTTTGCACGACCAAACACCCGCAGTCGGTGAATCTGAATCACCCGCAGTCAGTGAATGTCGGCAACAGCTAAGACGTCACAGTATTATTACTCCAAATACTCACAAAGCTAGTAAGTCATCCTCCAAAGCAGAGTTTTGTTCCACCCATTCACCAGCCATACCTGAAGTTCTTCTTAAGCAACTACAATATTTCTTAAGTTGCCAATGCCTCTTAATGAGAATCTGTAACTGTCTAATTTAGGTACCCGTTACTACATATTCTGCTCCTAAAGACATGATCAAAACGCTCCTTGAATTTATCAACCACAATTTTATTACGTTACTGAGCTGTTTTATAACAATACGTTATATAGGAAAACACTTGTAATGCTCGTTACAACGGTTACAATACCCGATATACTTAAACGGGCGGTATTTATACAAAAACTTCTTTGTCATCAGCCTATCTGAGCCCACTGCTGAGCAAGGCCTCTTACTCACATGGAGAAGGTTTCAGCATTAATCAAAACTTCTTTACCTCATTTAATATTAAATTTGCAAATTTAAAAGATAATATTAACATTGTTTATCTTAATTATTCTAATGATTATTTATGGACAAATATTACTTAATAATACAGGATTATGTAACATTAAATATTAAAGATTAATATATTACACCAGAAGTTTATAAGCAGCAGATAATCTAGCCAGATCAGTAAAATAAGATTCTAGTAGCTTAATCCTTACATTATACATAATAAAACAAAATTATTATAGCATTGCTTAATAGACATAATTTGAGAAAATATAAAGTTTCTTTCAACTGTTACATCTACAATTTCAATTTAATTATTATTTATCACTTTGTCCAGTCGATTTTATATGGCACGAATATTAGAGATTCTACCGATACCGATTTTAAGAGTTTTTGTAATTTTGGATAATTGAACTTTCCAAAAACCGCTCGGCCAGTCTGACACATCAGTAAAAAAAAAATGT